AGAGAGAGAGAGAGAGAGAGAGAGAGGGAGGCAGAGAAAAGGAGGGAGAAGGCCCGCAGAAGAAAGAGTCGGGAGGTTAGCTAAGCGAGAAACTAGAAAGATATCCCCAAAACTGCCTAGTCAGAATGCCTAAAAAGGCAAAGGCTCCAGCGAACCATCAAAGCTCAAATCTGAAAACCGAGAAACTGTTCGCAGAGAATCTGTCTTCAAAATCCACGGATACGAGAGCCCTTGGCATAACACAGATTTTGTGACAAAGGAGGAGGGTAAGCAAGAGGTCTGCTCTGAAAATGCTGAAAGAAACAGCACGGACACAGCACGGTTGGAGGTCGTGGAAAATACAATAATCTTCAACCCGCCACCTTAGAATGAAATGCCAACTTTATGGTGATAAATCATCAATTTATCATCGGAAATTGTGTGGCTGGCAAGTACCATGTTTAACGAGACACAATCACACCCAACCGCGGAGACTTCGAAACGATAATATGCGGACGGAATTCTCAGAAGAATTCAAAACGGCCATCGAAACCAAAACAACCACAAAATATCACACAACAAAGGAAGGCACAAGGAATCAAAAACAGTGAAGAAAACTCGGTAAAAGTGACAGCAGCAGTAAGTTCCACCCATAGCATGGAAATGCGAAATTCAGAGAAAGACCGAGAGTAAGCACAATCAAAGTCGTGAAGGGAAGAAGGCAGGAAGCCCTGGAGAGGAGGAGTATATAGCAAAACATAGCAGCCCTTCAACCGTTTTTGTCAGAGATCTGAGCACGGGCGAGAAGGGAAGAGAAGGTTCGAGAAGCAAAAGAATATAGGATAGAGAGAGAGGGGGGGGGGGGGSGGGGAAGGTTGAGGACCGAGAGGGAAAGGCAGATTGAGCAGTCGGAGGCAATAGGAGACAGTGCCAAAACAAACCGCTCAGTGAAACCTGATAAATGGTCAATATAGCGCCCCCCGCCTTGATTACTAAAAGAAGGAAAAGCACGTCTGGACTCTGAAGAAGATATCCAATCAACCTCCGAAAGTGATACTAGAGCGGTGCAAAGTCCCAACAACACTTAGAGAAAAGCGGCATCAAGAGAAAGAGAGAAAACAAAGTCGTAAGGGGAAGAAGGAGGGAACCCCTGGAAAGAGGAAGGATATGGCAGATGGTAGTCGCCTTCAATTGTTTTCGTTAGAGACCTAAACACGGGCGAGAAGGGGAGAGAAAGTATGAGAAGCAGAAGAAAGATAGGGTAGGGATAGAAAGAGAGTGGGGAAGAAGGGGAGCGAGAGGGAGGGACAGGGCAAGCAGCCAGAGTAACGTGAGGTAGCGTTGCCGAGCGCATCGGCTCCCGGCTTTCGGCAGAAGCCCTCTTACGCGCGCCACACAGGAGTAAAAAGGAAAGGATTCACAAACAACGCAGAACCCCGCGCCGTCCGAACGTGCACAGTTTTCGCCGCTCTAGCCGGGTGCGCCAGCCATATCTCTCGTGGTCCCTTGTGACACGACAGGTTCTCGCGAGGCACAACTTTCCTTCCCTAAGGAGCTTTTACCATCCTTAGGGGTGTATCCCTACCGAGCAACTCACCCGCATACAGAATTTTTCATATGCAATCGTAGTGGTAGATCAGCCGAGGGTGTTTGCTCGCTCGCTGCAGCACAGGTACGTGTGGTAATAACGCCGATTGAACCCGAACATCGTTTGTTCCCTAGGGCGCTTATCTCCAAGTACAAAGTTGACGTCAGTCGACTAGGATGGTTTCAACCAAGCGTGAAACCACAAATATTCCTGGTCCCTTGGACACAACTTGAAAAAAAGTTATCACGACAATTGAACGTAACCACATTAGAATGAAGCGATCATAGTCGATAGTCGATAGAAGGACATACATACACAGAGAGATGGACATACATACACAGAGAGATGGTCTTCACGACTATTACAAGTCCATATCATTAGTTCAACATCAATTGAATGAAAACTCTGAATAGAGAAGTATTCAGGTGACTTGCAACATGATTAACAAGCTAATACTTAAAACCAATATGATACACTTCAACTAGAATATGGAAACGTACGCCCCCTTCGCCATGTCACGAGGAAGCCTTTTGGCTTTTGCCTTCCCCGACGTGCAAGCACATCCATGACACAGGGGCCGGGGGGAAGAAAGAAAACAACAAAAAATGGAAAAAAAAACTACCTGATGTAACTTCTCAGCGGGAATGAACCTCCACAAGAACATGGGAACATACACCACCATATTTTCTGTCTTTCGTGCATGTGGTGGGCAGTGGAACACCTCTTCTGTATGCGTTTGCCAGTTCCAGAGAAACGAACGCACGCAAAGGAACAAGAAGGGCCTCATTCCTCTACTCTCCAAAAAGGTGCAAAGCCCCTTGTGTCTGGGCAGGTCCCAAGGAGGCTTCCCGTGTCGGGCTGTCATGTCTGCAGGGTCCGTCAGCGAGTTTCCATGCCAGCTTCGGTCTGTCTCCCGGACTCTCCTCCTATGTAGCCCACTTTTCCGGCGCCCAGTCTGTCCTTCAAGAATTTGTCTAAGATACCTTGTTTCCTTGTAGGGTCGTCCTTGATACACTTGAGTACACGGTTCCAGTCGAACTGATACTCAATCTGCAAGTTCTATGTGACCGTCTCCCATGCTTCTGCCTGTGACATGGTCTGGGCGTTGATTGTTTCATTGCAACGCCGCTTCCAGATCACCCAGAGTGTCAGTGGACGCAACCTGTGGAAGAAGGTCCTCTGTCATTTGTCTATTAGCCTCGGCTAAGCCAGTCCTGTGTGGCGGATAGTCGGATTTTCTGCTAGCGACACTGTGTTCACAGTCATCCACAGGGCTTCCGCCCTGGCCCACAGCTGACGCGCTTTCGGACAATGCAGGAGGCAGCGAGGCAGGTCCTCCTGCACACCGTCGTCACAGATTGTGCAGAGGTCATCAAACTCTTGTCTGCCTGCCTCCCTGCGACATCTGCTGAGCCATTTATTGACCAGGAGAGCGTGGTAGTAGATGAACCATTGCATACTTTGAATACGCATGTTTTTCATGGCGAGTAGGATTTGCCACGGGAGCGACTTGTGCCCTTGTAGGCTCCCCGGGAGGTGCTTCTCCCATCTTTGAGTCAGGAGGTCATTGGTGTTGACCGCTCTCCTCCCGAGTTTGTATCCCAAGCGTTTGGTGTAGTCTAGGATATTAGTTCCCTGCTCAGTGATTGCTGTTGTACCCACCGTCTTCCAGGCCCATTTATTTTGTTCTCGTTTTTCTTTTTTTTTAAATTTTTTATCATCCTTGCGCAGGGCCCATGCAAGTGTTGGCCCGGCACGACCAACTTCGGTTGTGCGATCTGGAGATCGTGCGGTCGAAGTATCGGGCTGAACCACACAGGGCTTGGAAGGGACAATTTGTCTGGTGTCTGGTGCCGGTGCAAGTTCGCAAATTTACTGCAGTGCACGGGGCAATTCAGGAGCCAACGTCCTCATAGAGCAAAGCAATTTCCTATCCACTTAAAACACTCCTGCATCACGATGTTATGCTCGCTCACCAGTCAACTCCAATTATACAAATGGTGTCAACACCGTCAAGTGATTCCATGGCAAGCGTCAAGGGGCAGAATTAGGAGGAGGGGGAGGAGGAGGAGGAGGAGGTGAAGTCATCAGACGATTGCATAACCACAGGCAAGGAGCAAAATTTTGTTCCCTGAAAGAAATGAAAAGGGTCATAAAAATACCTTTCTCGGCCTTTTGGCTAAGATCAAGTGTAGTATCTGTTCTGATCAGTTTAATATCTGATCCGTGGTCCATTGGGCCATTTAAAAAAAAAAAAAAAAAAAAAAAAAAAAGGGTCATAAAAAAGCGCCGCAGGTCTAGCTCAGTTGGATGAGCATGCAAATGGTATTCAGGAGGTCGTGGGTACCCCCACGACGGCCTGCGACGGGCATGGTGTTTACCAGCTGAGATAGTTGGGCTTGCCCCCCTGGCCAGTCTTGGTAAGGGGTTCTTCCTTTGGCCCTTGCCCCTGCCATCCCTCACTTGGAGTTGGAAGCTTAGGTACTACTCCTTGCACAGAGTAGAGCAGATCGAATTAGTTTCCTCCCTGTAGTGCTTAGACATGTATTGCTGTCCCAGATTGCCCTACCAGATACATGGGTAGACAGAGCGAGGTATGTAGGTAGCTAGAGTGAGGTAAACAAATCGAGAGAAGAAAAATATACATAACTTAAAGGTTTTTCTTTTAAAAAAGAAAAGAGTCACAAAAGAAAAAAGAAAGGGTTACAAGAGTGATTGAGCAAGCACTGGGTGAAAGGATAATGAGACTCTAAGGTAACCGGACTGCTGGGGCCCAGAATAGAAGGGGCAACTGTTTTTTCACCCTCACTCTATGAAGTACTTACGCTTAAACTGCTGTTCAACTGACTCAACTCTGTGTTCCCTTATTTGAGCTAGACTCAAATAAAATGGGCCACCCACACTCCATGAAGTACATACGCTTAAACTGCCGCTCAACTGACTCAACTCCGTGTTCCCTCATTTGAGCTAGGCTCAGTTGAAGAACTTGCCCCTGATAGCTTTCCTCCTGTTTCCCCAGAGATTGTTTTTGGCCTTTACGAGCCGCCTTAATCTCTATAGCACACGAAGGTAAGAAACAAACAGAACTTTTGCGAGTAAAATATCACGTACATGTTTCAGCAATCATGACCAGTGGCTTCTGTCTTCTTAGTGAGCTGTTGACGTGTGTACTCCCAGGTTGCAATCGCTCCACTCACGTGAACGTTCAGCGATCGGATGACGCCCATCTGTGGAATCTGAACACATCCATGGAGCCGCTGGATGATCTCGACCGGGACACCCTCCTTCTCTCTTCCCAGCACCAAAACCTGCACAGCAATGGAAACAAGAGTTGAAGAGACAATAGATGGTAGAGAAGACTACAACCCAATGTCCTTAAGGACATCCCTCACCTGATTTTGATTGGTCGTAAGGATTTGCACATTTTTCCAAAGGTAACTCAATCTGCCTTGGTCCCGGTTGTAGTCTAGCCCATCTACGTTGTCTTCAGCAGCATCTTATGAAACCGGTTATTGGGATGAGGGCTTTGCTTTTACTGCTTCCTCCCGGCTACCAAGCCCATTCCGCAGGATCGAACTCTAGCTCCTGCATCGCAGGCTTTATTTGAAAGAGAGTGCCTTATGTGAAAGCCCCCAAGACTCTTTACTGCGAGCACAACAGACGGACTTAGGCCCACCCTGCTATTCGGTCCAAGTCACCCTCCAAGACAGCGGGGATAGGGGGTGCGCTAGGAGCATTGATGAGAGGGTGGCCCTAAATTCGGACCACCCTGCTATTCGGTCCAAGTCACCCTCCAAGTCAGCGGGGATAGGGGGTGCGCTAGGAGCATTGATGAGAGGGTGGCCCTAAGTTTGGACCACCCCCTGCTATTCGGTCCAAGTCACCCTGCAAGATGGTAGGATGATAGTCCTGCTATTCGGTTCAAGTCACCCTCCAAGATGGTACTAGGATGATAGTCCTGAGTGATTGACACCAAGGTAGGAGAGTGGGGATAGAGGGTGCGTTAGGGGCATTGATGAGAGGATAGGTTGGGGGTAGCCTCACATTGTCAGGATAGCCAATGGCTGACTAACGACTGCAAACCAACGTACGTCTGGAATCCGGCCTCTATAACAACGCGGGCTTTATTATACGAAAAAAGGCCCTAAACAAAAAAACGCCACTTCCCCTGGAACAATGTTCTGTACAGATGGAGCATCCGGTTAGGTTGCTTGGAAAAGATGTGAAGACAGCAAGGTGATCAGTTGGTGTCTGTCGGTGAGAGAATTGATATGCCTTTGTGGGGACAGTTTCCTGAATCAACACCCCCCACTCTCCTACCGTCTTCGCCCGAATAGAACGCCCGGTAATTATCGCCGTATCTGGCCTGAAGGTTGTTCCAAATATAGCTATAATGACCGGGCGTTCTATTCGGGTTAAGACGGTAGTATCCATGTGAAATCCTCTTTGAGTACTTCTTTCCAACTCTCAGCAATGCTTTTTTTTTTTTTTTTTTTTTTCAGAAACAGAACTTCACGGTTCTGGCTCGTTTCCATTCTGGGGAGCATCAGTCCGGTTCCTATTCCACCGGCAAGTCGATAGAGGCTACATGGAGAAACTCACACACGCTCCTCCCCATTATGGCTGGGAGGCCCAACCCGAGTAGAAGGCATTGATTTCTTCCCGAGGGAAGGATGTACCACCTCTCACCCCTGCCCGAGTTAGCCTGCCCAACTTAGACTTCTTGCGTAAACCCTAAACCCTCCCAAAAGGCCTAAACCTCAATGTCCTGTCCCATTCCTACTCCCCTCAGCTGCAAAGCTGTCAGATTTACTCGGCGATGCTTCTTTGTTGTTTTTTTTCCCCTTTCTTTTCTATAAGGCGAAGAGCATGAGACACCATCTTAGAACTGAACGGCCGAACGACCCCAGCTTAATTCTAAGTCATTTACTCATCTGAGTTGACTGGGATTCGCAGTCAGGTCTGTATTTCAACAGTTCAAGGGTGTACCAACTGGGCTAGGCCCATTGGTGTCGGCAATGCTTCTTATTACCGTAGGTAGGTTTGTTTGTGGTTGCCTTCCATTGGCCATTCCTTTTTTTTTGTTTTTTTTTATATCCGTTCGTGGTCCAAGATAACCACCGACTGTCTTTATGGGCCAAGGACGAAGGGTCTACCCTTTATTTCAGGCAAAAGACAGCCACAGACATTTTAGGCTTTTAGGATATTATGATATTCAACAAAAAGGGGAGAGAAAAAAACTGGGCCTATCTTGCCTCCCTCCTTGTATGAAAAGGAAAAGGAAGCTTAGGAGGAGCTCAGGGAGGTAGAGGGAGGCACACAAATGGAGAGGCGATGCACTCTACTGACCGTTTTCTTTGGGAAGTCGTATTCATGTATGGCGATGCTGTTTGCTGTCTGCTCTAAGCCGATCAACGTGTAGCCCTCTCTTGCCTTCTTGTCCAGATAAATATTCAGAGAGGACTCAGGGACCTCCACAATTGGTATCCACCTCTCTGCGGTCACACTGCAAAAAAACAAGGAGGGGTAGGGAGAGGGGAGGGTAGGAAACAGGGGTAAGGGAGGGGGAGTTGGGAAAGGAAGAGGGGGAGTTGGGGAAGTCAGATCATCGTTATTAGTGAAAACTTGTGAGAGAATGATGATCAGAGAGATTTGAGTCAGAAACCAATGACAGTTCAATGTTTTCGGAACACTTTGAGCACCCGCCCACCACCCAAAAAATGATGCAATTGCATTCTAAACAATTGGGCGGGAGAGCCAATAAGCTAGAGAACACCCAAAATATTCACAAAGGCACTACGCTACTGGCCCCTCATGACTGTCTGGGATATCTGTCGTGACAGCCCGTACAGCCGTCCGGCTGTATGATTTGTCTGGGCTCAGCACAAAATCTAAGAAGGGCAGAGAGGGGTAATTTACTAATTTAGTAATTTCAGAGAGGGAAAAAAATCAAAAGATTCTGAAAACAATACAAACTGCAATACGAACAGGCCTAGCTCAGTTGGTACATCCCCGAGCCCTTGAAATACAGACCCGAGTTCGAACACCGTTGGAAGCAGATGAGTAAAATACTGCAATTCTGAATTCCGTGGGGCCGGTCAATTCAAATGATGATATCTCAAGGTCATAGCCCTTTTCTTTGAAAAAAAAAACAAAAAAAAAAAACTGCAATACAAACAATGTTTGCAAGAGGGTCATCTTCAATTCCAAATAGAATTGAAGATAGTAAGATAACAAACAAAAAAAGAAGTAAAACAAAATTTTAATCTTAACAAGTCTAGGAAGCTCGTCCAGCCACGCGCAGGGAGTCTGAAAAATGTCTGGTACTTCTTTTTTCGGTGTTTTTTTTTGGCCGTGGCAGTCTTCCGCACTTGCCAAGAGGAGCCCGGATCCATTCAATCCGGGCTCTTTTTTTTCTCACTGTTGTCCGTTAAGGGGGGGTCTTAAAGTGCTTATAAATGGGTTCTTTTAACTTTAAAGGGCTTAAAAGGATCAAGCTCACAGATGAACCCAGAGGCTCTTATCGTTCCTCAGTCGTTGAGATCCGCCACTGAAGTCACCTTGCCCCTCACAGATTGGTTTCGAGAGGCGGTTAACGGAGGCCCAAATTTTCAGAAATGTGTCTTGCAATTTATAAGCGGGCCTGTTATTCCGGGGCTGAAAATGGGGAATCTCCCGTTAACCACCTTACATCCCATACGGGCGTCATGCCATCCGTTCGTTGCCGATTCTTGATTTCCTGTTCTGATCAGATGAACTCCTGTGCATCCTCTGCCTCGGAATTCCGATTTCTGACTAACGTGTCAGAGTTGTGCCACTCTTTCCACCTTCGATTTAAGACCGTGGAAACAACTTAAAAGTTAAAACTTAAAAGTTGAAGCTTCGAATAAGCCATTTTCCCCTTGCTAAACTCTCACCTGCTTGAATTTGGCCAACAGAGCTCCTGTTCTGCATCAGGATTGTTTTTGTTTTTTTTTCCTTTTTTTTTTTTTCAGGATTTGTTCTGAATCCTACCTTCGGTTCACGAAAAAAAAAAGAAAAAAGAAAAAAAAAAAAAGGGGGTTTGTCGGGATCCAGAGTTCCACTTTCCTCCGTTGGCATAGGGCCTCAAATGCTCCACTATTCGCCACATACACACAAGATAAAAAAATATGGCGGCGCATTTTTCCATGTTCTAGCGGAAGATTCATTGAATTTCATTTCCATTTTTGCACATTTCGTTGAGTAGTGTAGCGAGAGTCTGCAAGACCCATAGAATCTCTACTTCAATTATTCATTCCCCTTCACATGGTATAGAATCTCATCTCTCTGCTTCAATCATTCCCTTGGTAGCTGACCAGACCTTGTCTATCCTGGGTTCTTGGATTTCTCCATGGTCCTATAGCATCTGTGCTTCCACATTTTCGTTTATATCTTCTAGACTTCTATTTATTTATTTATTTATTTATTTATTTATTTATTTATTTATTTATTTATTTATTATTATGTTTTTTCTATTCAATCATTTCAATGCGAATCTTTATGAGGGGTTGACCCTTAGCCAAAAGTTGTTTGCAACTTTCAACTGGAATACAGAACATAGTTGTTCCACATAACGTTTTTGTTTTTCTTTTTGCACTTGCGCCGGCCGGAACCCCCGCCTAAGGGTCATGTACGGCTGGGTCTTTGAGCGTGTGTGCGGACACCACTTGGTAGCCTGGGCGCGCTGATTTTCTTCCTTGATAAAAAACTAAAATTAGAAAAAAAATATCTGGAAAAAAAATCAAATGTACTATAGGAAGTTGCCCCCCTTTTAGAACCCTCCAGAGTCCAAGCGCTGTCAATAACGGTGTAAGTGTCTGGGACTCCCCTTGATGCTCAAACTGCGTCAAACATGTTTTTGAGAATGTGCTTCATTTTCCACAAACACAAAATTGAAAATCCCCATATAAAATCTGAGCTTCCTTTTCTTAACTGTTTTCTTTTTTTTTCCCCACCCCCCACTTTCTTTCTTTCTTTCTTTCTTTCTTTCTTTCTTTTTGGGTTTCTTAGGTTTTCCGGACGTCTGGACAGACTAGGACCCAGCCGTCCTGGTCCAAACGGTCCGGTATCCCAGCCGTCTTGGACCACGACGGCTCCGATCGGCCCTGAAGTTACCCCAGTAAGTGCATGAGGTGGTAAATGTGGAAGACAATCGAATGCTAAACATGACCGAAAAGAAAAAAAGACAAAGAATACATGTAAATGATAGTAAATCTACAGGGTTTGTGCTTGAGTGCTTGAAATCCAAACTGATCTCCACAAATTTTGAATTCAGCAGTTTATGGTCTCCAGACTCTCCACAATTTTAAAATTTTTAATTCATCTGATGACCTTTCCATCAGATGACCATAAACTGCTAAATTGTGCTAATATGCACCGCACTCACAAATTCTCACAAATTTTGAATTCAGCAGTTTATAGCATACATGCAAGTGCACGTCATGCGGGCGGTTCCCGACGTGCGGCGCACGCGCCCAACCGATCCCGGGCGGTGGACGACATATGCCGGGAACGACCCGTCACCCCCCTCCGGAAAAAAAAAAAGAAGGCTGGAGGTCGAAACGGTGTGTTCGAGGGCCCCCGCCAAAATTATAATTGGGATGAAAAAAAAGTTTGCAGGGGTGCTGCCTCACCTCGCTCCTCCTCCCCTTCCTCGTCCTCCATGTCTCCTCCTCCCTCTCCTTTTCGTCTCCTCCGATCCATCCTCCTCCTCCTGTTCGTCCTCCTCCTCCTGCCCTTCCTCATCCTCCTTGTCTCCTCCTCCTCCTCGTACTTCATCTTCCATGCCTCCTCGTCTCCTTCCCTTCCTCGTGTCCTCCCCTTCCTCGAGTCCTCCCCTTCCTCGCCGTCCATGTCTCCTCCTCCTCCCACTCGTCCTCCTCCTCCCGCCCTTCCTCTTTTCCCTCCGTCCATCTCTTCTCCTCCCCCATCTCTACTTCTCCTCCTCCTCCTCGTCCTCACTATCCTTGTCGTCCTCCTTGTCCACATTCCCCTCCTCTCGCTATATCCCCATCTTCCTGTCATACGCCCCCCTCCCAAAAAAATAAATAAATAATAATAATAAAAATAAAAAACCTGCACGATTCCACACAGGCACCCCCCACATGGAACTCCGCACGGAACTCCGCACGAATGTGTGGCTCGTACGGTTGCAGGTATGGTTTATAACTTTATAGTACTTTATAGTAAGTTATACTTTATGGTCATCTGATGGGCCAGATTTAGAAAGGACATCAGTTTGGATTTCAAGCACTCCAGCACAAAAGGACATCAGTTTGGATTCCAAGCACTCCAGCACAAACTATGTAGATAAAAAAAAAGAAGGTATTATTTCAATTTATTTGTCATGTTTAGCCGTAGGGTTAAGAAAACTTCAAAAAAGGCTGTTGTGACCGGCACCGCCGTTGGGTTACAAATTTAAAAATGAAAATATTCAAAAGGGCATTCAATGAAGGAAAGAAACTATGAGCGATGTGGCAAGAGGTAAAAGGCTCAAAAGAGGACTCCAGAGTCCATACCTTATCAGTTGGAACTGCTTGTCTGCCACAACTCGGCCATCAGAAACAACAAGGCTAGATGCCTTGAATACCTGCACCAGGATAGAATTATGTCTTTAGAGGTCTAGAGGTCGCACAGTCGTCAGTAAGGACCTGTCAATTTCTTTATTTTTTATTTTTTTTGATTATTCTGATGATTATTTTATGTTAAGAATGACACGAGTCTACCCAAATGACAAAGTAGCAGGACATTTTCCTTGCAACTCCGTTAGAGCTGTGGGAGCTGTGCTCAGTGGACCAGGCTGGCCACTAGGGTCTGGATTTCTGAAAAGGGCCTGTCAATGTTTTCACCATTTGTTAATTTCATGATTTTTTTAAATTTTTTTTTAACCCGATTTATGCGTGTCCTCCTTGCGCAGGGCCCATGCTAATCTTCCCTTCTCTGTATCGTTCCAATTTTACCAGATGTCCCTGACGACTATTTTCATGAATTTTCTAGAACCTCAACACCGAAACAAAACCTCCCCCTCCTCTGTGACACATACACCTGTACTCCTATTCAGAGTTGAGTTGACAATGGGTATGGTGACAGACTAAGTGTAGAACACACAAAGCAGCTCACTCATAGTCACAGAATGACACATAGACGCAAACAAGTACTCTTGGCCAATTTGCCAACCTTCAAACCCAGATTCCGCCACAGTACCACATTCCAAAACCCGCATTGGCAGTCCGCCGCTGTCCTATTCAGCCACTCTAAAATGCTACTGTTGAATAAACAACTGCAAACCCCACCAACGCGCCTAGCTCAGTCGGTAGACCCATGAACTGTTGAACTACAGACCCAAGTTCGAATCCAGATTCAAGACGAACGCAAGATGAAAAACAGAATGCAATAATTCTGAACTACCTAGGGGGATGGTCAGTTGAATAATCATATTTTAAGGTCGCCGACTCGTCGCCCTTCCAAAAAGAAAACACTGGACTTGTACATTTGGTTTGTTTGGCGTAACAATAAACAAGGACATGCGTCTACACTACGTTCATTCACTCTAAAAAGTTAAAAACCAACATTAAAGAAAAAAGGGGCATCATGGATGTGGCATATAACAAAGGCCATGATGCTCGTCTAATACGTCCTGTATCCAATCATTCCGAAGAGCAACACAGTTAAATGGACAGATGCCATCATGCACTTGATGGCATAAGAACAGGCAATGAATGCATATCTAATGGATGTGACGACTTGCTCCATCTGCACTCGTCCTGTGAGTTGTCATCCATGCCATGCCATCTCTGGTTCATTACCGTAGACGTAGACATCTCGTTCCTTATCAATCCCGTGGCTTTTCGACGGACATTAGTCAGTTAAGAATCACAACAATAGACGAAACATAGGCAATATTTTGAGGATAGACAAAGACAGACATCTCATTGTATTTCATTTCCATGGACAATCAATCATTCATAGGCCTCATATCTCACAAGAGAATCAAAAGACGTAGACAAAGATTAGGCATCTTTATCTTCTATATTATATTAGTGCAATCAGACTCGCTTTCAAACACACTTTTCACACATGTAAACAGTACGCAGCACACTGGCGACATGCGCCCACTCAAAACTCATAGATATG